GATGGATTGGCCAAGCATGTCTCCAGACCTAAACCCTATTGAGCATCTCAAGGTCTCTAACATCCACCAGCTCCGTGATGTCGTCATGGAGGAGTGGAAGAGAACTCCAGTGGCAACCTGTGAAGCTCTGGTGAACTCCATGCCCAAGAGGGTTAAGGCAGTGCTGGAAAATAATGGTGGGCGCACAAAATATTGACACTTTGGGCCCAATTTGGACATTTTCACTTAGGGGTGTACTCACTTTTGTGGCCAGCGGTTTAGACATTAATGGCTGTGTGTTTAGTTATTTTGAGGGGACAGCAAATTTGCACTGTTATACAAGCTGTACACTCACTACTTTACATTGTAGCAAAGTGTCATTTCTTCAGTGTTGTCACATGAAAAGATATAATAAAATATTTACAAAAATGTGAGGGGTGTACTCACTTCTGTGAGAAAATTTAAAACAAAAAAAATATATATTTAGAGGCACATTTAATTTTTGACAACCCTAATCTGTAAAATAAATAAATAAATAAATATGGAAATTTAACACTAGCCATTAACCCTAAACCACAATGCAATGAAGTCCAAAATTCTAAATACAGGTAAAACACCCATAAAAACACCTGTTTAAAAAACCTACGGAAATAATACATTCTGCCCTATTTCTACATATCAATTCAAAATACAGGTAAACACCTGCAAAAAAAAAAAACACCTGTTTGAAAAAAACAACAATATGGAAATAGTACATTGTGTCCTATTTTTACTTTTTTTTTTACAGTGTATAAAGGCCTATATAAAGTATTTGATGCTAAGGAAAGTTACTGACCTACAGTGAGCGATAATGATAAAAGTCTACTTTTATAGTAAGTTTAAGAGGTTTTGGCTTAGAATATTTTTTTAAAACTTCTAAGAATTTTGTCCCTGCATGTTTGATGAACTTTTGATCTATAATATTACCCCTAAAGATCATGTAAAAACAAAGAAGGAGATTGACAATCAGGCAATACCAACCCACATTTTTGGCTTGTGACACTCAAGTATTGGTCTAAGTGCAACAGAGCAGAATTGCTGCTTGTTGACTTCAAGCTCAAGCTTCAAGCTAATTTAAAAGCAATAGATCCATATGCATTATTAGAATGCATTAAAAGAGCAAGAAAATGTAATGCCAACATCGTTAAATTATTGGCTTGTATTTTCCTCCAATGTGTTTTGTCTTTTTTGGCTTGGTAATCCTGCAAGAACTGTCTGAGCCAGTGTTCCTGTCTGGTCCTCCTAATCAAACAAAAACTCTACGTTCACGCTTTTCCCTTCCTTCCCCATTCATTGCTCTGTCTGCAGGCCTCTGCCCCCCCTCAGGGAAGCCCTAATTAAAGAAACCCAGTGCCTATAAACACAGAGCTGAGAGAGCCGGCCATGGAGCCCCCCTACCCTCACCATCTATTGTCCATTAAAGAGACTAAATAAATTCAACAACACATTTTCCCTTTCCTCTGCAGTTGGTAAGCTTAGGTATTACATCTAGGCCTGCACTAATAAGCAGGGCCGTTTCTTAATCCTACCACTGGTCAGGGGCTATTCTTATTCTAATGCCCCGTTACAGCCAGAGGCTTTAGAGCTATACTGTATGATTGAGCCATTCAACAGACACCTCCTCCAGAGCGTCGCTGGTTTGCATGTTAAATCAGGAATAAGACTTGAATTGCTTAGTTATATAATGGAAGGTAAGTTTTTGCTTGCACAATGTAAATGATAATTGTATAATTTTGGCTTTAATTCTTATACAGGACATCAAATAATTTTGGTTAGACTTCACAATATCTTTCGTTTAAAACCTTAAAGGGACTTTAAATAATCCACCCAAAAATAAAAAAATATGTTATCATTTATTTGTTCAAAACTTGTTTGACTTTACTTTCTTCTGTGGAACATAATAGAAGAATTTTTGAAGAATTTTGCTTCTCATTGAGTTCCACTGTTCAATTTGGTTACCAACATTCTTCAAAATATAATCTTTTATGTTCCGCAGAAGAAAGTAAGTCATAAAATATAATATAAAGCATAACTAATCAATCAGTATATCCAAAATTCATGAAATTATAATTCATATTTTCATACATAAAATAGGAAGCAAAAGAGACCACAATGAAAATATGCCATATAAAATCTGATTGGACTTTTTTTTTTTAAGTATAAATGTACAAATATATAATACAATATATAATATATAAATACAAATGTAATAAAAAATTTACAATAGCATAATTTTTTTGGTCTCATATCAATATATTAATATTTGAATCTTTATGAACTACTAATTTGCTAAGCAATATAAAATATTAAAGACTTAACCAAGAAAGTTACTTTAAAGTTACTCTGTGCTGTGTTTTGTCTGTAAATTTCATTATAAGATATCTAAACAATAAGTTAAAGCAAAATGACTCGCTGAAATCAGCCACAGGTCAAAAAGGTGACATTGTGTCGTTCTCCTATGTCTTAATATGAGCTTGTCATGTCTCTTTGACACTA